GGGTTGTAGGGTTTAGGGTTCAGGGTTTTAGGGTTTTAAGGTTTTAGGGTTTAATTGTTTAGGGTTTTAGGGTTTAGGGTTATATGGGGGTTAGTATGGGGGACTATCAGCATGTAGGGCTTATGGGGGATTGCATAGGGGATGTATGGGGGTTATATGGGCATGAGATATAGGGTTAATTTTGGGTTATATGGGGGTTGATATGGGGGATTATATAGGGTGACTATCGGACAGTTTCTGGAACCAAGGTCCTTCTAGAGATATGTGGGGCTCTTTTTCAGAAGCTCCCTTGTTAGAGATATCCCTGCACATTGGCAGATTGGGATGTCAGGCGGACTGACCTGCAGAATGGGCTGTGCGCATGGCGTAGAGGGATGATGCGGGAACTTCAGCGATCGCAGCCCCCACGTTGAACAATTTCCAGTCCGAAAGCCATACAAACCAATCCGTTAAGATGTGTTCCACTGAGAAGCGGAACAGCTGCCTGCAAGATTGAGGCAGGTCGAGCTTGGGAGCGTTTGACTCGTCAGATTGTGCCAATCGGCAGTACATTGTTTCAACGATTTGCGTCCAAACCCTAAACCCTGATCCCTAAATCCTCAACCCTTATAGGCAGCTTCAACGGTCTGGTGGATTTCGCGCACCGTGCAGGCCCCGTACTCAGCAGATCTCAGCAGTGCCCACGCATTCAGCATCCAGGTCCACTCTAAGTGTGGCTAGTCGTTAAGTATACAAACAAGAGCAATAATCGAGAATCAAATGGACAATCATAGGGAAAATGAGGTGGAAACTGGGGTTATATAGGGGCTGGGCTATACAGGGATCCAGGTATACAAAGAACCTCCTTCATGTTCGCGTCACTAAGTCTTCAACAGGTAGTTCTCATCCAATGGGATGCTGGCAGGCCAGTAACGTATCACTTGCAGATGTCAGGGTCCAAATTGGCTGCGCAGTGTCTGAGGTGTTTCGTGCCACCACGCGAGAGGCAATCGATTCAGAGGAAATGGGTGAAAAGGGGCAGGAAGAAGTGTTGACTGCTTGGCTTCATGTTTCTCACCGGCCAGCACGCATGCAAGCAGCGCCCCAAATCTGAGCAGTGGAAAGATCGCTGTACCTCCATCCATACCTGCTCTCACTAAGGTAGCCCTTAACTCATCCCTGCTTGTAGCACGTTCACCGCAGCCGGATACCTGGCTGACTTTGAAGCTAGCATGTTGCAGCTAAGGATGGTAAAGAGTCATTCCTACTTGGCTCCTTGATACTTCCTGGGTAGCAATGGAACAGGAGTTACATGGTCAGAATGCAGTATTCCTTGTATGAGCTCTGCAGAATCCCATAATATAACCCCACGCATCCCATCAGGGCGAACCCTTGTGGAGACAACCTTCATCTCAGTAGAGATGGTTTCCTAGATGAGCCCCTTCCCGCAATGATTCCGCGTCTCCTGCAACTTCGCCCTCTGCCGCCAGCCAAGAGTGTGAAGGTTTCTGAACTTTGTGGGCCCCAGCCAGCTTGGGGTCCTTACAGTAGATGCAGGATTGGTATGTATGATCTCTAAAAGATCCCCATTGATCTTTACATGTTTCTTTGAGGCTCAACAAATGCCAACTTTCTATCTTATCTCCAGCCTTTTCAGATTATTCTGCCTGCCCGGCCAGATTGGTAGCTCTTGTTAAGACTTCACATCCGGACAAGGTTGTCTACTTCAAGAAATTCCTTCGGAATTTCAAGGGGGTAGCCCTACACAGTGCAGACACCCAAACTCCAGTTTCCACTTCATTTTCCTAAACCCTAAACCCTAAACCCTACATGGTAGCTTGATCTGAGTTGAGAGTTGCTTCACACCAAATTGTAACCCTTGTAGTTTCGGTTTATTGTCCCAGTTTCGTTTCCATTTGACTCTCCATGGTTAAGGGGCAACCTAACCCTTAGCCCTATACATCCCTTTAATCCCCCAGTTTCCGTTCCATTTTGACTTCTGCTATCTTGTTGTTTTGAAGGGTTCCTCTTCAGGTGCCGGGCTCTACCGAGACGCTGGCCGTTGTCTATCCGATCTGCCGGGATCTTCATGTTTTGCTACTGCAGAAGGGCTTCCAATTATTCTTTAAAATCATTACTAGGAAGGCGAGTTGGTTCTGACGCACCCCTACCGGCCGCTATTACATCCGCAAGCGTGCGCTTTCAGAAAATGGAGGAGTCAGCACAGCATCTTATAGTTAGCTACACGTTTGTTCCTCACAGGCGTCATGTTCCGAAGGAAGCAGGGGCCCACTCACTTCAGAACCCTGGACCCCTTTTTCTGAACGTCCTCGGAGAAGAACAACGTTGTGCCGCCCAAGCATCTTGATGGTCTCTGTAGAGACTGTTGTAAAGTCCTAAGCGTTGCCTCCCATCAGGCCAGCTGCCAGGTGGCTTCCGATGTTGCTCCCGCAGCGAGCCAAAGCGTGACTTGGCCTGGACACGCGTGCTGGCAATGGTGGCTCTGGTCTGATGATGTTAGTGACAGTGGCGATGCTGATGACGATGATGCATGATGGCGGTGGTGATGATGATGATGCTGATGATGGTGATGATGATGCTGATAGCAAGTCAGGTTGTGTTTATAGCTACTGTTCCCCGTACTTTTGAGCTTTGACTCTTCTTGCTATTGTTGGATTGCCGGGCAGTCAGAACGCTTATGCCCTACTTCAGGGATGCCAAAGTGCGCCTCTGCTTCAGTCGTAGAACTTAGAGTTGGTGTTTTTTGGTTTCTAAAAAGGCACATGCGGACCGCTTACACGTGGAAGGGAGCTTTGACTCTGCCGCTCCAAACCCCCCCAGCTTAGGTCGGACTGCCGCTTCCTGGCTATGAGCCAGGCAATGGGCGGTCGGCCAAAGCTTCAGCTTCGGAGATTTGGGGGCTGTAGTTTTTAGTGTTTCATGATTTTCAGGAAGGGTGGGATTTGCTGCTAAGTGCTGCTGGTGCTGTGTTGACAAGTTTGAAGCAGGAAACTCAATGTTGAACTTGGTAGTTTTTTTCCAGGTATATTTTGCTTCGTTTCCTTCGCTTGCTCACGTCTTGAGCTTCTGCAGGGGGTTCAAAAGTGCAATCTGCAAAGCAAGCGCCCTGCTGCTGCTGCTGCTGCTGCTGCTGCTTCTGCTGTTTCTGTTTCGGCTGGCGCTGGAGCAGATTGTCCTCCTATGGTCATGACTCACTCAAATTGTGACATGCAGGTCAGCAAGGGTGTCAATCTTCACGTGCCTTGCAGATGGCAGCCATTCGAGCCGTGCGCTGCAGAATCTGGGAGCAGCTGACGTGGCCCGCGTTCGGAGCTAAGATTCGGTGAGCTGTTTGGGCCGGCTTCTTTGTTTGCATCCGTCGTAGGCTTTTTCACACAAAATTCGCATGAAGATTTTTAAGCATCAGGTCATGATATATGCAAGATGCGTTCAATCATCTCTGACTCAAATTATGATGCGGTTGACGCGCAGCGCACCAATTACAGCACGTTGCAATAGTGTTTGCGTACCTTGCATGCTTGAAGCCCAAGGACTGAACCTCTCAGCTTACGCCACCTGTACGCTCAACCCTCTTGAACAACACAACCAAAACCAAGGAGACTGCCTGGAAACCCACGGATGTCCTGTCATCGCTCCACAAAGGAGCCACAATTCCCTGAGCTTCAGTGACTTGCCCACTGGCATCTCAAACCCTGAGCCTTAACCACTATCAGCAGAGCCTCCCAAAAGCAGGCTTACTTGGAGCATCCTCGCGTCCGAGGATTGCAAAGCAAACTCCTCTTGCATCTGTGTACAACTTTATTGGATTGCCGGATCACTGACCCTGCAAATCACGGCTGCAACTCAAGAAGCTAGGTGCCGTGTAGTAGGTAGTAGGTGGTACCCAGAAAGGATTCACAAACATGAGAAGATCCTTGAAAACGCAACAAATTGAAGTCGCTGGCAATAAAACACCTAAGCCCGTAAACATCCAGAACCTTTCACGCCTAACCTCGAACATAAGCCAACTAAGCCTCCCGAACAGCCTTGCTAGGAAAGCACTCAAATTACATCCAGGTCATAACCTACATGGTAGTTTCCCAACATAAAGGGGCCCGAATATAGACCCCAAATACTATAGAGCTTTTTGTGAGGATCCCCAAAATGGTACCCCTAATTTTGGGAAAACCCCATATCCTGGAATTGTGAAGCAGAAGCCCTAAACCCTAAGCCCTAAACCTTAAACCCCAAACCCAAAACCCTAAGCCCTAAACCCTTAACCTTAAACCCTAAACCTTAAACCCTAAACCCTAAGCCCTAATTCTTATACCCTAAACCCTAAACCTTAATCCCCCTAAACCTTAAACCCTAAACCCTAAGCCCTAATTCTTGTACCCTAAACCCTAAACCTTAATCCCTAAACCCCCCAAAAGCCTTGGGAGTGTGGAGCAGAGCTCAGGTGCCGGAGATGACCTCCTCGGACCTTCGCAAGCTGGCGGAGGCTTCTTCCTGAGCAGCCACGTATTATAGTCGCCCTTAAGTAGATAGAATATTAGGGTTATATTGGGGTTATATGGAAACTACTATTTAGGATTTAGGGCTTATAGTCCCCCTGAAGTAGATAGAATATGGGGTTCAGGGTTTAGGGTTTTAGGGTTTGGGGTTTAGGGTTTAGGGTATAGTCCCCCTTAATATGGCTTTGGGTATATTGTAGTAAGATCCCCATATACCCCATATACTTAAGGGGGACTATCATAACTATTACCCGAATTACAAGACGTTTTTGTTCACATATTCAGGTCATTTCCATCAAGATTGCTATGCAGGGTTGAGGGTTTAGGGGTTCAGGGGTTTCCAAAACATAGGGAGGCCTCCATCATACACTAAAACACTGCAATCCTTTGCACAGGGACCTTTTTTGGTTTGGAAATCCCCGCATGGTTGTGGGATTACGTTTTATGCCAAAGTTTTTGGCATTTGTAGCGTTATAGGATGAAGAGAGCACCGCCATTTTCGCGGTGATGGCCCATGCTATTCCTAGGTCATCTCTCCTCTTTGGCCAAAAATTGCGAGTGTGGCCAATGTTGAGATTCCAGCATCTGAAGACCGCGGGGCCCAACACTTAAAGCCCTTGAACTTCGGCCCCCCTCCATCCTATATGAGCAATAGTCTAAACTCCTTAAAGGGGGTTATATAGGGGATGAAATAGGGGATATTAAGGGGGATACTCGGAGTTCAGACTATAGCTCATGTACCCCCAAGCTCAGAACCCAACTGTTGATACCTCAAATCCTGCATGACTCCTGTATACTGTCATACCATGATGCCCAACGTATAAGGTATCGCTAAGCCCTATATCCATGTAAAGTCCCTACACCTCCTTTAAAATGACCCAGGAATGTGGTAGTTTCCCTAAATTGGG